TGAAAATTGTTTTGGAAGTTAATAGTTTTTTACATTTTTCTCTTTTAAAAAAATTAAAAAAATGCCCCTGGGCACAAATCCATTCTTTAAAGTTTTTTTTTTTTAATTTTCAACTTCATTTTGAATGTGCTTTATTTAGATTGGCTCTAAACAATCAAATTAGAGCCCACCTCAAAAATTTCACTTAAAGATATTGCTTTGATGCTCCAAATATCAGAAAAAAATAAATTGTCTCATTGTATACAATCCCTAAAACAATTGGGAGACTAGAGAAGATATTGGGGCAATGGGATTTTTTCATCGTTTTTTGTGCCAAATTTAAATCGTTTAAAAAAAAAAATGAAGGGTGCTTAAGGTTGCAGCCCAACTTTAATAAATAGGGTTGCAGCCTTAAATAAACCTTAAAATGTAGAATTAAAGATTCAGATAAAAAATCCATTGGAAAAAGCTGCTTTAATGTTAAACTCTCTAATTGATTATCTCTCTATCGAGATGTATGAATATGGAAAAAAAAAAAAAAGATTTTGAGTGCTAGAAATAGTGCATCTTGCAACACATAGAAATAGGGTATTTTACAACACATTATCAGACCGTCCATTTTTCAAGATTTATATAAGTTTATAGATCTACTTGATTTTAACCATTTGGAGTTTAAAATTTTGTAATCATGAAAATAGATTTTCAAAAAATCTTAAGAATTTTTATATTACATGTTATGAAAAAATTTGAAGGTGCGCTACAAACCACAATAGGGAAAAAGTATATAAGGATGAGGCTCTAAACAATTAAACGAAGGTCCACATCAAAAATTTACTATAAGTGAATGTTTCGATGCTAAAAAAAATTCTCAAATCGATCATCTTGACCTCAAGATGTATGGTCATGAAAAAAAATAGATTTCAATCTTGAAATTAATACATCTTGTAATACGATTTTTTAAGCTTCAAATTTATAACAAAAGATGCTATCGCAAAGATTTTCAATACTTCAACAGTGCTTTTTTTTTTTTTTTGCCGGAAGTTTTGTTACAATTTTTTGGGAAGAGAGATCAATGGAAGCTGAAAAAATGTATTGCAGCTTTTTGCTAGATCAAGTGTATGGTCTCTCTCTTCACAGCCCAAATACCTCCAGAGTTGGATTCTGGATTCCAATCTGACTAGTGCTATTTGGTGGTAGGAGAACAAATATATGGAAAAATGAGAAGTAAAAAACTTGTAGAATCAGGGCAACTGACCCCCACCGATCCAGAGCCGACTCGGGCTATTCCGATTCATCTCTAAAGATTTTCAAAACACTGCCAAAGATTATAACCCTGTTGCATCTTTCTCTCCATTGACAGGCAGAGCATCCATGGATGATACCCCAAAGATCATCCAACTCTGTGGCAAGCTCAATAACTACATCACTTACGCTCTCCAATTTATTGTTATCGCGCAATCCGATGCCAAATGATCCACCTGCATTTTCTCAGCAATTTTCTCCAGATGTGAAAATACCTCTTCTGTTCTTCGAAGGCTCAATGACTGCATTAAATGACATTGTCTTTCAGGATTCAATGTGGATTGATGCACCTGCACTTCGTCAACAAATTTCTGCAGATGCATCATACACAGTTCCAACTGAAAATGCCATTTTTGATCTCCATCGTCAATCACTGGTTTCTCGTGGTGTATCAAACCACGAATTTTACCGCCCCCATGATCACCATCTTCACCGTTCACCACTGGTTCATGGTCATCAATATGAATTACAACTAGAGGACAGCCAAATTCCGACAATCCATAACGTACTTAGAGAAACAAAGCCCAAACAAAAGAAAAACCACTTATTTTCCAATGAAATGGTTGTGATGTATGGCTTTAGTGCGACCACATCTCTGCTGAGCATTGGTTACGTTGATAACAAAGGCCAGATAATACCTACCATCTTTGGGTCAAACCCCACAGTTTTCAACGTATGTGCCATTTCTAACGTGCTCGGCTTTGCAAGTGGTGTAGCCAAGATGAGGCTCAAGGGCCGTCATCCAAAGATCGGGAAATTTCTGCAAGAAATGGCCATTCTTGGAGTGACTACATCATTTTTTGCCATTGCCTGGGTTATGCTTCCTGAAGGTGTTTTAAAATGGACAGCATAGGCACCAGTGATTCCTCAACTCCAAGAATTAGCCATGCGCTTTTATATGTTTGGAAAGGAAAAATTTAATATTCACAGTGGAGGAAGTGAGGATGGTACTGGACTTGGCCATGCTCCTGTATAAGGTTGGGAAGGAGAAATTTAATGCTCACTCTTGGAGACCACGACATGAACTGTGCTCCGCGCTCCATCCCACCCTCTCCATGTCCAAATAAATTGCGGGTAATGAGGCATCAAATAGGTTATTGTAGCTAAGGCCGGCATCTTCAACCACCGAAGCAGTCGGCCAAAAGAGGGCATAGTCCAAGTGGACGTTCACAAGGTCTGATGCATAGACAAAGTAAGGTACACATTCATCTGATGCATAGACAAAGTAAGGTACACATTCATCGTGAGGAAGAAACCCTTAGTGCTCAATAAGGGAACAATGTAGTTTGACGATATCGGAGGGCACAGGAAGGTTGTCTTCAATCATGCCTCAGTTCATTAAGAGGGATATGACATCATTCATATGGATTTTGACATCACCTATATGGAGCAATAATGTCACTAATATGATGTTACACCCCATGCGGATGATGTTACACTTCTTCTAATGACCAAAAATATCCTTACTAAAAAAATACTTCGTTACAAAACAAAGGTATATAAGTATCCAAAATTTATTGAGTACAATTATAAAATACTTTATAATGTGAACACCCTAATATAACCCATTTTTAAATATTGTTGTATACAAAAGTAATTAGAGTAAATTTCCCTTTATCAATAACAAGAAATGTCCATGTTCTAATGGATAAGACTTTAATTCATGTATTATTCGACAACATATTAACTAGATAAATGAAAACCCTTTCTTAGATCCATATGAAAACACTTAGAAGAGTAGGCTTGTATGCCCTATTCTGACAAATTGAAATTTGCCTGCTGCATAGTACACAGTAGCAAACTTCCATTCTTTAGCAAGTCAGTATTAAGGTTGTAAATCCGTCTAGGTCAACCCCCACCCAGACTCGACCTAATGTGGTCTAGGTGAGATTGGATCAGCAGGTCCGATTAAGACATTAAAAAGCTACTAAAGTATTACGACAATATACCAAATTTGCCATGCACCTTTTTAATATGAAAACAAATAGTTGTATAGATTATATATTCATTCACATAATCGAGTTTGGTCAGGTCGACCAGCACCTGACCCAGGTTGGCAATGAACCTGGCACCGCACTTGTTGGGAATATGTAGGAGTCACAAACCCTGAACCGGCTGAGCCAACCCATCGCGTCGGCGGGTTGACCGACCATTTCCCACACCCAAGCCAATATTTGCCCCAAGTGTGAACCCGCTCTTCTGCAATGACAATGCCTTTTAACACATGAGAAAGTAAATCCAAATTACTGTCAGTAAGCTGAAAGGACAACAAATCCTAATCAATGCTTAATATTGATCAATTTTTGGATAAAAAGGGTTTAATATGAAGGATAATGGATCCAACCATGAAGAAGAAAAGATGTACATGAAATGTACGTAATATCAAATGCACTATTTTTTAGCTTGAAAAAAAATAATAAACTTAAGCATAGACCGTCCAATTTTCAAATAATCTAATTCTTTCTTTTGAATTAATTGTCTAATGATTCTTAAGTGGATTCCAAAATTTCATGTCCAAAAAAATTTCTTCAGTCACTTTTTCACTTGAGGGAGTAACTGGATAGTAATGCTCGGCATGAGCATAGCATACGTGCTATTCTTTTCATAAGGTCATGTGACAATACATCGCACACTACATCCACCTACTCAAAGGGGCTCTTTTTTTTCTCTATTGTGTTGATTGGATCCCTGAATACGCAAATCCTAGAATTGTCTTAAAAAACCGATTAGTAATCATCCATTAGTAACAAAAAATTAAAAAGAAATCTGATTTTGAATTCTTAAAAGCCTGGAAGTCAAAACTCAATATTCGAGCGACATCCATTCCAACAAATATTTAGACCGTGGATATATTTCTTTTGGGAATGATCTCAGATGAAAAATTTTAATTCGAAAAATTAGGATTGAAAATCCCTTTAAGGTGCACTCTCTTGCGAACCAGAATTTAATCCCATGGGACCACACGATGATCATACTTAGTCCACTCAAGTTTTCAAAATTGAAATAATTTCAAAAAATTACTGAGCAATTCTTGAATAACAAAGTCAACTTGCCCTTTGTTCAATCAACTTGGTGATTCACCAAAGTCTAGCCCCAGTTGGCCAACTAATTATCTCAAGGCCCTCTCCAAGCTAAATAGAAAAAGATGCCAATAATAGTGCTCTCAAACAGGATTTCCCTCCAACTTTTGATATAACTAAAATTACTGTTCTTTTTTTTTGTGGATGCGGTTTCTATGAAGTTGCAACTTTAAATGACCCAATTAAAACGCGCCTTAAAATTTTATCATAACATGTAATTTTCTTGTAAAAAATTCTTAATGTTATCTTAAAATCTATTTTCATACCTAATTAAAAAAATTTAAATTTCAAAATTGGTTAAAATCAAGTAGATCTAAAAATATATAAAAATCTTTAAAATTGACAGTCTAGATAATATGTTGCAAGATGCACTATTTCTGATATTCAAAAACTTTTTTTTTTCATATTCATAGATCTTAATGTCGAGATGATTGATTAGAGAGATTTTTCAACATTAAAAAACCATTTTTGATAGATTTTTGAAATGCATTTGTGATTCTACATTTTAAGATTGCAACCTTCCGTAAAAAATTTTTTTTTTTTTTTGTTTAAGTAAAAAAGGGGTTTTGTTTTATTTCTCTTTTTTTTTTTTTTTTTTGAACAGTTTAATAAGAAATGGATCCTTACCCATGGTTGAAATGGAACTCAAATACATCACTAACAACTTATGACCCAACACAAGCTGATGGGCACCTGTCAAGCCCGAAGCAAAAGAAATGCTTCTCTTTTTTTATTGGTACAACAAAATCTCAAGGTTCCAGTTCCAATTACCTTCCAACTAAGCCAGGGTTTGAACTAAAAAAATGCAAATTACATTACTACAACTGTCAGCAGAAAAGAGACCACCACTAGGTCATGTATCATGCCTTCGAAGTGCCTGAAGGGGTTCTATGCAGTTCTGACCGATTACCACAAGCCTGGGTCTCTTGCTCTCTTTGGTGTTATTATTTTTTTGTTTCCCCATACTTTGTTTCTTAGCAGTCATTTCTTTCAACTGTTGCTGAAGGAGGGGAGACATACCAGCCTGGGAAGAAATCGAAAAAATAAATGAATATGAGAACAATCCAGTTGCAGAAATAAGAAAGAACAAACAACTTTAATAAAAGCAAAGGATCACTACATGCCATTAATGATAACTGCAAAACTAGCGCTATAAATGAATAATTCTTTTTTATTGTTATCATTGACGAGAATAGCAATAATAGATCTGGTAATAGAGAAATGGTAATAACCATGAAATTGATGCATGCGTTGACAAGGAATCATATAGTAAGCAAATGTCAGATCCAGTTTCTTGAATCCATCATACTCTTTTATGATTGGCAGTCACTTTTTAGAAATCAATCGGTGTGTCTAAATATAGGGCTCCATCAGTTCATATCAGATTGGCAGTCACTTGTTCGACAAATTTGGTTAGGTGAAGTATTCATGGTTGTCATTTTTATTGAAAGCCACGCCCTTCCACCAGTAGGTTTTTTCACCAGTTTGTTTTCTCATATACCAATAATAATTAGACAGGGTCTTTCCAAAACATACCTCAAGTATTAGTCAGTTCTATGGATAATGCTAATCCATTGCAAGTGTCAGCAACAAATCCCTAAACAATAACTTCTAGAATTTTAAGCAACAACCAATTGATTGTCTAAGCTTAGAAGCATTCATACTTATAACAAGAGACATCCTTATGGAAAAGTGTTCCATAGATTTAGCTCGGTTGATCTTACATTCTGAAGGTTGCTACTGATATCAAGTTGCGAACATTACTCATGGCCAATGTTCAATGTTCTTGAAGTATATCAACGTTCTTGAAGTTGACTCAATTTTGGGCCAAACTGAAATGTTTGGGATCCCAAATCTCCTCTTTTACAACCCCTATAAGCCTCAAAAAGATTGCAGTTGAATATCCCTTACCATCGTGACCATTCGAGGATTTCGAAAAAGAAATTGATCTCTCAAAAAATCTTCAAATGTAGTTTTTTTCAAGTTGTTTCTCACTCTAAAGTTAACTAAAATTGTTTTTGGGGGCAAAAATCCCCAACCCTTATCCCCTCTTTAAAGGGGATAAAATGACTTTTTTGCTCCCTCCCAAAAAAAATTTCTGCCATACTCCTGTACGCCGCCTAGGCGGGCGCCTTTTATCGCCTAATCGGCCGCCCGACTGACTAGGCAGGTGCCTAGTTCTGGCGCCTAACAGTGACTGCCTTAAGAATGCCTAGGCGTTTTCTCCAGAAAGCCGTCTAGGCCATCGAGCGACCGACTTTTTGAACATTGCTCATGGAGAAGGTTGAAGCTTCATACCAGCCTTCTTTACTCACACTATAAAAGGATACAGACAGCCCAATGGTTCCTACACATGATGCAATAGTTTGAAACTTGGAGCCTGGGAAGCCTCGATGTTAAATTGATTTTTACCTTCCAGCAAAACATAAGCAACATAAGAGGAGCTGGAACACTCCATAGCAAACCCCCAAGAGGCTAAATCAACTTATGCAGCACAGGAAGAACAGCTTGACAATGAAGACTATTAAGCCCAAATCCTCTAAATTCAAACCCTAGATGTGGAATGAAGACCTCTCCTCTTCTATACAAAAGCCCATTCAATTAACCAAATCATCCTCAGTCCCACCTAATGCACAAACACGACTAACCCTTCGACAAAAGGCTCAAATTCTTTAATCCATGCAAGTGGGTTTGATGCGAAACCATCCAGAGCCTGAGTGAGTTTTCAGCATATCTTCTCCATATTATAATGCACAATCCTGACTCCACAACTAGCAATTTAAATCTTATCCCCTTTTGAAGTCTCAACTGAATTTTGAATCGAGTACAAGCCCTACTGACACCTTGCTTCACAATAGCCATGTTTAATGTCAATGACCCTTCATAGCAAACACAATTCAACACATTTCTGCAGCGACTTAACCATGGAAGCCCATTTGCCTCTCTACGCCTTGTGATCCCAAGGCCTCTTTGCTTCTTACTTGACCCCACAAAATTGGAGGTGCTCTGATGCACCCTGCATATTGCTCTCAAGTATCAAGATAAGAACGACAGGTTTGATGTTTACAAGAGGAACCGTAGAAGGGCAAAATAATTAATGAATCTGTCATTTTATGTTTTTTATTTATTTCTTGTAGAGGCTTTTATGTCATTCTATTCACTTAAAAGTTTTTTATAATGGATGGCCATAATTAAATAAAGGATGGCCAGTATTAAGTCTTGTTTAGGGTTTCTTATGTACTCAAACATAATGAAGCATCTTGTTATGAACTTTATTCAAAACCCTAGAGCAGCTCGTGCTCCTTCTGTTATCTCTGGTTTTTGCATCTCTCTAATGTTGGATCTTCCCTATCGTCTTTGCAACAGCCTAGCTCCAAGCTACTAGCCCTGCACCACTCTCACTGTCACACTCTACAAAAATCTATCCATTCTTTTTCTCATTGTGCAAGAGATCTGAAAATCAAACTAAAGTATACAGGAATGTTGGATAAGAAAAAAGGTGTGTTAGCTTGTTAGCCTTTTTAGGACAAAGTTCAAGCATCTTGACCTCCCTCGCCCAAACTGGAATGACCACCACTAAGATGCAGCCTTATGCACTAAAGGGAAGTTGATAACGTAGCCTAGATGAGGGCAATCCCTAAAATGATAAAATTGGCTCTCCAAAGAGTCAACCTCCTCTTAAACCATCTTACCACTGGCTATTACACATTTTTCCTTGGCTTTCCCACACAAGGGCAAACAACAAAAAATTAAAGCCTCCTTTACACCCCGGCAAAGGGACGTTTCCTTCATGGTAGAGATCCTCTACTCCAATCCCTAGGAGAGAACTCTTTTGCAACTTTATAATTTGTCTAGATACCATCTGATAGAATTTGAGTCTCGAAGTATACATTTGAAGGGAAGACGCAACACAAAATAAAAGTGTCATTGTCAAACTAAAGATGAGACCCCCAGGCTCCATCTTCTTATACTGCTTTGCTAACTGTCTTATCAACAAGACCCAAAAAACCTATAAAACTGTGGCTAAAAGAGTAGGGAACTGGGATGAGCTACCTCAAATGTCCTAGGCATGCAAAAAATCCTTTAGGAGATCCACTCACCATAACAGATTTAATCTGACATAAACAAGTGACAACCAACTCCTCAGAATATCCCAAATGCCCTGTCCCTTTGATTTAGGAACCAATGCACTAAAAGTCATGTCAAAGTCATGATGAAAAAGCTTAAGTGACATTCCACAAAGAACTTCAAAGAACTAAAACTATTTATTAATAAGACTTCCCTTTTCAGCAGTAAATATCATCAGAATAAAAAAAAAATTTAAATATAAGAAGACCAGGAAAGAGCGCTCATAATAGAAAAATGCATGTGCCATGTCCAATTTTCAACACCATTGAACAAGGTAAGTTTCAAATGAGAGATGAGAAAAACATAAAATCATGACGATACCCCTGCCACAAAGCGGCGTGAAAATGTCGTTGGTTGTAGGGGGCGAGTTAGAAGCACATTCAATTCCTGCATTTAAAACAAAGATCAGACTGAAAACCACAAGGGCCCATGGTGAAAGAACATAGACAATGCTATCATGTTGGACAGTTCAAAAGACAACAATAAATGTGTTTCGTTTGTGCATTCCATGTGCCCAACACAGAATAGTACAATATAGATAACATGTGCGTGGAAAAAACCTGCTCCAATTGTTTCAATTGAAAGGTATTGATCTTCTTTTGTTTAGATATTTGTACTTTTTCTTCCTCACTTCCACTGTCCTCTAGATCCATTTCCACAGATGCAGCATTACGCACAAACCAGTTTTTCTGTGCCTTTGTCTGAAAGGCAAAAATCCATAAGAATGTTATAGACATTGTTTAAAATAAATTTCAAAGGAGCCAACAGTCACATAAAGCAATCTAAAAGTGATGCAGATCAAAATCTGGTTGCTACAAATTTTTATTTTTATTTTTATTAATTTTAATTCTAGACGTGTGGGTAGACTTTTTTATTTTTTATTAGAGTTAATTTTTTTTAGAAATAAGAATACGATAGTTAGATGGTTCTCCTTAGAGAAGTTTTAGGAAAGTTATCTTGTGGGTTTGGACGTGTAGGAAATGAAGATCATTTTTAGCGATCTTTATGAGTTTTAAATAGGAGTTATCTTTTATGGAATGGATAAGTTATTAGTTGTAAGTATAATGGTAATTGTTGGTGCGTGATTAGTTGATAGAGTTAAAGTTCACGTTTAGTAAGTGTTAGATAGGAGTCTTTTAGAATTGTGCTTATCTTCTGCACCTTTACACTTGAAGATTTTGGAGTCCACTTTTTCCTAGGGATGTATTTCATAAGGTGTGGCAAGTATAAACGAAATATCATATAATGTATTGAGGGATTGAATTTTGTTAACGAAACAAGGGTGGAAGTTTGCCATAGAGAGAGAGGCCCTTTGTGGGTGTTGTTTCTTCTTTTGTGTTTATGGGCTCGTGCGGAATATTCGTATCCACGCGTTTTATTCTTTCTTCTTGTGATTTCTTTCACAATTTTTATTTCTCTCTAAAACGCGGTTAATTCGCCGGGTGATAGTCGTCGAAAATTTTATACTGCGTCAGGTTGTATCAAAGCGTAGTCGATTCTTGAGGATCTTGGTGTTCGTCGATTGGTATCATGGCTCGTGGACATGGTCTATGGCCAGGTATCAGGACCCAACCCATCCAGCACGAACGAAACCTCCGAGCTCTCCGAGAGATGGAGAACAAAAATTTGAGAAGGCAAGTAGAAGAGCTGACCCTGCACTTGGCGCAAAAACTAGCCTCGATAAACTACGATGACATAAGTGAGTTGGAAGCTATTTTCGAGAACCCGTTCCATGCCAACTCTTTGTATCGAGAGCCTCATAGTTGGGAGAGTAATCTATTTCCTTATGGCCGGGAGATTGATCAACCTAAGTATGATGAAGAACTAGTTGAAGATGAAGAACATATAGGTTTTGATCTTCGATTAGAATCATCACTCTTGGATGTCATAGGTTACCCCATCTTTGATGAAGGTTTCAAATTTGATGAAGAGCAAGATGAAAGGGATCTCATCCTTGATGAAGATCCTATATTAAAAAAAGATCAAAGGAGAGAAGTTATCCTTGAATCAGCTAGGATATCTAATTTTCTTATCAATTGAGAGATAGAAACTCAAGATGTTTACTTGATCCCAGAAGAGATCGAGTATTTGGTGGTGAAACAGAAGTATACGTGATGTACCCTAAGGTCCCATTTGAGCAATTTCAGGAAGTTTATGTGGCTGAAAAATCGACATACAATGACCCTTTCCTCGAAGGCTTACCAGTGCACAATCATTGTGTTTTGATCCATGCAATAACCCACAGGTCTCAGAATCGTGTTTGCAATATTTGGGTGTCTCAGGATCATGTTTACATTAGTCGGGTTGAAGAAGGTTGCACGACTAATACAAAGTTGATCTTAGCGCATTTTAAAACTCGATGTCGAATTTTCTCCAACCAGAGGAGAATGATGCAGATCAAAATCTGGCTGCTACAAAAAAAATATATATTTTTATTAATTTTAATTCTAGAGATGTGGGTAGACTTTTTATTTTTCATTAGAGTTCAATTTTTTTAGAAATAAGAATACGATGGTTAGAAGGTTCTCTTTAGAGAAGTTTTAGGAAAGTTATCTTGTGGGTTTGGACATGTAGTAAAGGAAGGTCATCTTTAGTTATCTTTATGGTTTTAAATAAGAGTTATCTTTTATGGAATGGATAAGTTATTAGTTATCTTTTGTTCTTTCTTCTTGTGATTTCCTTCACAATTTTTATTTCTCTCTCTAAAATGCAGTTAATTTGTCAAGTGGTACTCGCCGGAAATTTTATACTGCTTCAAAAAGATAGTGCCAAATTGAATATATTGCAATAAGATTTACTAGTCCAACTGCTGCAAACAAAATGCATGCTGATATATATGGAATGGTCCAATTATTTGAAAAGACCACTACTCGTTTCCATTTAAAAAAAAGACAGATCAACACTGCTGCTAAGTGAACAACATAGACTGTGAAGATCAAGGAATTCCCAATTACAAATAACTAACATTTCAAAGCTCAAAAAGTGCTCATAAAAGTTCCAATACTACAATTCTTCTCAGTATCTTCCAACTCAGCAAAATACATTTTGAGGCAAAAAGATCTGCTCATGTTCTTAGGCCAGACAAGTACCAACTCACTCAACTAGATTTGACAGTTATAATATGGTTAATTTCGTGTTGGCTATAGCTATTCAAAGAAGTGATAAGCATGTGATTTGTATCATGTGATTTGACAGTTAACTGTTTATCATTAATTTGTGAAATTGATTTACCAATTATAGTTCCACTTACAAAAATGAGTCCCCTTACATCAAACTCTATACATCAAAGCACTATGATTCGAAGTACCAATCAAGAAAGATTTCCAAATTCCATCTCTTGCCAACGCATCCACTTCTTCAATTGCCTCTCTTCAGGCGCGCCTTAGTGCTGCAGTAAGATTGCTCATACATACCCAGATTTCCTGAAATGCTGTTTAGTCTCCAAGGGCAGGATCCATCTTCACCAGCATAGTTGATGACAGTGTTAAGAGTCACGCTCAATGATGACATCAGTCCGATTAGGATCTAGATTTCAGAGACTGAAAAGTAATTATCATGCCTCAGCTTCAGCATAACACATCTGAATTGGGCTAGAGTATGTCATGAACAGTGGTCCAAAAAATGCCAAGCAGCGCCTAGGCGGTCTTGGGGATCCTGGCCGCCCAGTGCTTAGGTAGGCACCTAGGCAGGAGCCCAATTTCTGGGTGGCCTAGGTTGAAGAGGAGGGGCAGGGGAATATGAGTAATACATCATAAAATGTTACAAATTTTAAAATCGCATAATCCAAAATTCCAAGCCATTGCAAATTTGTAATAGACTACTAGCACATCAAAAAATAAAATTATCATCATCATCAGAACCTTTTCCCAACTATTTAGGGTCGGCTACAAGAATCCTGATCCACCATTCTGCTCTATCAAAGGTCAAACCCTCAGTAAGGTTAAAAATAAAATATAATAGTAAATTAATAATACAGGCACAATCCATAATTCATACTCCATAGACCATACTCCATGCTCCATAATCCATAGTTCCATACAATGATACAGCTATACAAGCACATAGAAGAGTATAAACTAGAAAATAAGAAAAAGAAAATATACACTCGAAGACTTAAAGAGTCAAGAGTCTTTATTCATCATAAAAAAAAGTGGATTAAGCCTCATCATATGCATAGGAGTCGAGTCCATCATCATCAGAGTCATCTTCCTCTTCAACATAACGCTCATACTCCTTCGTTTCTTCTGAATCTGCCTCTTCCTCCTCTTCTTCTACCCCCTCTTGCTCTATGCAGATGATCTAGCAGCCTAACGAGTGTTGGCTGCTGTACCTTATGCCTCTTCATCCTTTTCTTGCGTTTTGTGTTTTACTCAACTCAACTATTGCTTAATCTCCCCTAATACCGGCACAGTGTTTCTTGAACCGATAAATACCCCCATTGATATCCTTTCCATGATAATTACACCTTATACAACTTTTGTCATTCAGATTCGGGTTACCCCCAACCCAGATCACCACTTTGCAAAGAACCCAGAGCTTCCATCTAACAAAGCTCCTTTTCTTCCTTTTTTGATTTTATCAAATTCAAATATTCTCTAATCTCATCCCTAATAGCTTCAATAACTTTTTTACAAGAAGCAACATTTCGTTCAATACCAGTAAGGTGTTTCTTGAAGAAGTTAACACCCCCATTGGTATCTTTTTCACAAAATAAACACTTTATACAAATTTTATCATTTGGATTTGGGTTATAAGTAACCACACTTTTTGTGTTTTGCCGGGCTCAAATATTGTTTAAATCTCCTCTCTAATAGCTTCAGGAACATTTTCACAAAGAGCAACATCCCCCCTAATACCGACAAACAGGTTTTTGCATCAGTTTATATCCCCATTAGCATCTTTTTTGAATCAGTTTATATCCCCATTATGCAATTATTATCATTTGCATGTGAATTACCCAATCGATCTTATAGAAACACAAAAAAAGTGGTTTTTTCAAACATTTTTCACTCCAAAAGGTAACAAAAGGGATTTAGGTCACATAAGAACTCAAACACCACGCTCCCTTCCGCCCCTCATTAGGGGACAAAAGGATAAAAATACCCCTCCACGAGGGGGATTTTCGCCCCTGGACGCCCGCCCAGGACTGGGCACTGCCAGGGGACCCACCGCCCAGAAGGGAAGCCTAGGCCTTAGCGATGCGCCCAAGTCCCCTTGGGCTGCCTAGGCCTTGGCAATGCACCCAAGTCCCCTTGGCCCACCTAAGCAAACCGTCATGAATGTTTTGTCTGGATGGACCCTGACCACATGCAATGACAATACCCTCCACACCTGTTCACCCTTGATTCCCTGGCAAATTGCCATCAAAATCCAATTTGACGACCCCATTAGGAGAATCCAAAATTTTGAATTTTTTTTATTCTTATTGTTTGCTTTGATTGTCATTTTCCCACTGTTTTCAAAATCATCCACCGAGACTCTCTGGTAGTTCTTTTTGCAAACAATTGTCCTAATTAGAAGAAAAGGAAAAAGATCATTCATCTCCTTTCACAGGTAAAGAATGAAGAAATCGAAGATGATTTAGAAACAGTTTTTTTTTTAGATGATGAGCAGTCCCCAGAAACAATATTGTCCATTGCGTATTATTCAAAAGAAAATGAATTCAATCAAATATGCAAAACAAACTCCTCAGAGATCTTGT